ATCCCCACGCCCACACCCACACCCACACCCACACCCACCCCCACACCCACACCCATCCCCACACCCACACCCACACCCACACGCACACCCACATCCACACCCACACCCACACCCATACCCACACCCACACCCACACCCACACCCCATCCAGAATCACACTCACACGCAACCACATAAATATCAGAACACTCCCACATACACCCATCCCCAGCGCCTCACAGACACCATACACTCACACCCATGCCCACACCCACACCCACCAGAAACGAAAAAAATCTATTGTTACGAGTTTATTCGATAGAAAATCGTTGAACACGATGATTCTTATTATCGACGACATAGAGACTGCCATGACGATCGAAGGATAAGCCCGTGGGATAGTAAATCTGATTTGCTCCTGCTCCATCACCATTTCCACCCACAATGACAGTGCCCTGTTTCGCTCCTTTAGGCCAACGCATCACTCGATGATTGTCCGAGTCTGCAACATAGAGATTACCCAACGTATCGACTAGCAGTCCGTTAGGTTTCAACAATTGTGTCAGAGCATTCCCTTTCCCGTGACCCCCAGCAACGACAATTCCTCCGTTTGCACCTTTATTCCACTTCATCACACGATGATTGATGTGGTCTGACACGTAGACAGTCTGTTGTTGATTGACAAAGACGTAGGTCGGAAAGTTGAGTTGATTGTGATCATCACCTGTACCATTGCCACCAGCCACGAGAGTTCCATGCTTGTCTCCTATTTGATATCGTCTGACTTCGTGTTTGTACCAGTCAGAGATGTAGAGATATCTCTGATCATCCATGGCCAATCCCCAACAACTGATGTTGTCGAGGAGAATTTCTCCTTGAGTTGTGTCACTACGACGATTCCATCGGGCAACTCGTCGATTCCCCCAATCACAAATGATGAGACTATCTGTCTCTTTGTCGACCAACACATCGGTTGGCTCATACAATTGTTCTAATCGAGCTCCATAGCCATTCCCACCAGCTACCACTTGTCCATTCGTATCACCCATCTTCCATTGGATGATACGATGATTCCATGTGTCAGCAATGAGAATCGTTTGATCATCATCAACGAAGAGACCAGTAGGACTCCAGAGTTGATTGGTGGCATCGCCTGCTCGCTGGCCTCCAGCAACAGTCACTCCATTCTGTGACCATCTGACATCGACTGGAATATTGGAAATCACTATAATGAACGAAAAAGAAAAGGAATCGTCAATGTTGAAGAGATTCCTCTCTCTCTCTCTCTCTATCGTGGGAGAAAGTGTTACAAATGAGATAGAAGTCATTCAAGTATTACGTAATCAAGTTTAGGGGGAGGGGTGTCAGCCAAGAATGACATTTGATTATTAGGGGGGAGAGTAGGGGTTGCTGGAAGATTACGTAATCTTAGATAATTTCTTGCTTGTAGCGCAATGACTTACTGTAACGGAAAAATATATACATATATGTATCTAATCGTATATACATATATATAACCGTTAATGACAAATGGAGAGGCACATTAAATGTCTTTGATCCCATTGTGGGCATGATGTTTATTCGACTGTGCACTACATCCAAATGTAACTAATACACATACAACATGAGCTTATATGTGAGAGGGATGGAAGAGAAGAGAGAGAATAGATGGTACAACACAAAAGGGAGAAGGGAAAGAGGAAAGATATAACAGAATATTCCACATTACAAGGTTAGTCAATGGTTGCTGTTGAAAGGACGTCCATCTTCTTATGTCAACCTTGTTGGTCCAATGACATTGAGAAGATGTGCCTGTTGGCGTCGTATGACGCAATAACGATTAACGTACAATCGTATCGTTTACATATGAAGGACTCATTTGTATACACGAGTAGAATAAGAGACGATGACAAGAAAGATGACGAGATCAAGGAGAGAACAGATACAGAAGAGCAATGGAATAAAAACACATAGATCAGAACAATATGTATCATATACCATTGAATGGGGCGCGCATTACGACAGACAGAGAAAAAGGTTCCATCATGGGTAGATAAACGTAAGAGTAACGCAGTTAAGAACATACGTATCATTGATTGTACAAGAGCACACTGAGAAAGATAAGATATCACATGGGATAATATGCCTATTGGCACACTTACCATAGAATATTATTGGGTGAACAGACTGAAGCAATAAACATTGTTTGTTTTGTTTATTTATTAATTGATGATTTGATAAGTTCTATTTTATACATGGGTGTAAATGTTACAAAGGAAGAAAAGTACATTAAAAATTATCGATCGTTGTACATTTCAGAGATCTCTTTACTTAATGTATTCTTTTATGAATTCTAGGTGATTGTTTGGCTGAAGTTTGGAGCAGGCTTGCCAAATTGAAATTTCAGAAACCATGATTTTTTTATAAAAAATCAGGAGTTTATCAGGAGGTTTTCTTTTATGAACGAGGAAAAAAAATCAGCAGATTTTTTATTAGAAGCTAAAGAAGCATTTGGTGCTTTTTCTCATGGAAAATTCGAATTTCCGCTCACATAAGCGCTTGTGTCTCTTGCATATCAACCCATGTCAACAAATCAGAGACTAAGATCTGCATCAGATTCGTGTATGATCATGCCCGATCTTATATCATTATCTTGTATGATCATGCAAGATCATACGGAAAATCGTACGAAAAATCGTAGTCTCTGATTTCTTATATCAAGAATTACAATAAGTATCAAACATGATCCATCCATAAGAGCTTGTACGACTAGACGGATTTTATTTCCAAAGATTTCTATTAATCAATCAAAAGTAAAAAT